GTAATCTAAAAAATTAATTTCTGTTGAAGGAAGACTAAGAAAAGCTTTGTTACCAGTGACTCATATTCAAACAAGACCATTCAGTCTGATGTTTTCATTATTACTGGACAACAGGCGTCATGTTTATTAATAATGATATTAATATCGCAGCAGAGCCTTTGCTTTTATGTCAAACATAAAAACATTTTCATTTGTCCGAGTTCAGGATTGCATCTAAAGAATCTGGTGCAAAGTATTTTTCTGTTTTCTGCACAGAGCCAGGTTCATTGACCTTTCACCTCTGACCCCCTCAGCTGGCCAGACTCTAACCCTGGACAGATGGATAAGGCTCAGTGTGCTTTATCTCCAGGCCACTGAACCAACATTCCACTTTCCTTTTCCCCCTCTGACACCTGCTCTCATCCTCTCACCTGTATGTGATCCTGATGCAGGTGTGTTGCTCTGAGCTCAATTTAATAACATCAGTCAAAACAGGGAAAATGCACCCCAACGTGAGGCTGAACACAGGGCTGCAGCAAAGGCACATTTTTGGAACAACATTTATTTATGATGAAAAACTGCAGAGAAGCTGCAGATTTTGGGTTCTGCTCCTCGGGTCAGTGTAGCATCGGTCCAGTCAGACCAGTAGAAACATTTATGCGCGCTGCAGCCAAAGGGGCTGACGCTCAGGCGGATCGAACCTTTCGATTGATACTGAAACTATTTGCATACTGATTCTCTTTCTGCGCGCGGATCCATAACAACCCCGGCCAGCTATTCAAAGGCGCCTGCACCGGGAAAGCACGGAGAGCTGTGCGCGTCCGCAGCAGGAACGGCTTTTAGGAGGATTTTCTGCCGGATGGATCCTTTGGAAACGAGCTGCGGTCGTGAGGACCTTTACCTCGGTCAGGAATATGGGACGCTGGCAGCTCTGCCGGAGAGACTGGAAGCTCCTAGCAGGAGCAGCAGGAGCAGGAGGAGGAGAGAGGAGGAGAACCACGGCGACAGAAAAGCGCGGCGCAGGAAAAATAACATAAAAACCAAATCCGCACAAACAGCGCATCTTCTGCCGCTTTAGCTGCAGCAGGTATAAAGAGTTGGTGTGAGGCGGTGCCGCTGCTGTGTGTGTGTGTGTGTGGGGGGGGGGGGGGTAGAGTGGGGGTCTATGCGGTGCGTGTGTGCCGCACAAGTAAAAGGAGATAAACGCAGACATTTCAACTGGAATACCGCTACCTGCGCGCAAACTGACTGCAGCTGCGCCACTTTTCAGTCAGTGATGTCCGCAAGATTCAGCGCTAATCCGGTTTTGTTTACTAAATTAAGAGTGTTCGCGGACCGTTTAGCGTGACTTCATGGGGGTCAGTTTGCACTAATTCTATTGGTTCTTATTCCGAGTCCCTCCCGGAAAGCCTGTAAGACACCTTCGGGTGATAATGGCGCAAAGACAGCGGAGGTTTTTACCTGAACCTGAGGATCCTCCAGAGGAGCGCCAGAAACATCTAAACAGTCCCCCACCACCCTGCTGTTGTCATAAGCGCATCTGGCGCAATGCTGCGCGTTTAGAGTCTGCTCAGTTCTTCATTTTTATCTGTTTGCTAAGAGGCCTCAGACTGGAGAGATGGAGCCAACACTGATCTTTTAGAACAGAGTGGCGCAGTAATGTGCCGCTATCGCTGGCGCTGGCTTGTTGTCATAACTGGAGTCTGACAGAATTTACCCGCAGTAATTGGGCGGCGTATGGACAACTTAGTGCAAAGTGGTGCCTTAATTAGCGCGAATCAGAGCAAGTGACGCGGAATTACAGTAGAGACAAGGCAGCTGAGGTACCCATGAGCAAGGCAGCAGGTCTGTCATCTGCTGCTCGGCCATGATGGCATCTTTCTAACGAAGGTCGAATTCCTTCATTAGACCGGAGTCCCGGTAGGTTTTTGTCATTCTCTCATTTTTCTTTAATTAAAATCAAAATTTAGGAACAAAATAAAATAATTTTTTACTCGGTGTTTAGATGTTTTTATCTTATTTTATTTTAACATTGTTCTGCTTTTATTGGCTTTCCCACTTACATTTATATTTAATACATCTTCTTACTGCCGCGTGTGTGTGTAGTGTGTGTGTTTGCGCGCGCGCACCGTGAGGCCTTTGTGCGCCTGTGACATTTGCTTACACACAACATATGGGGCGTACTTGGGTTGGGGGGGGGGGTCGCGTCATTTAATTTTTGGAAGGAAACTCAAATGTTTCTGCTGCGTTTGGTTCTCACACGTGCACGGAGCGGAAATGCGTGCGTTGCTGTTTTTGGTTAAAATAAATAAATAAACGTAAATATCGAAACCGGAAGTGGCAGATGAATAATAAGTCTAGAGATTGTCACAGGTGTGTTATTTTTAATCAGGCGTCTCCCCGTGGAGCTCTGCAGCAGGAACGATGACAGGACCGCGGATCGATCCTCCAGCAGCTCTCAGTCACGCGGTTTTACGAATAAATCTTTGCCAACCGGCTCAGGTAAACAACATAGACCAGCCCACCTGAGCTTCGCCCGCGTGCAAACATCCGGAAAGAGAATTGTGCTCTTCTTACTGCAAGGCCGCAGCGCTAACCACTGTGCCACGGTGCAGCACGCTGCTCAAACAAGCAACACGATAATAAATCCTGAAGGAGTCGGAATAAAAACCAGCAGAATTAGAGCAAAAAACCCGCCAAAAATATGTCTGCGCCATTTAGGTACGGTGTTGTATTCACACACACACACACACACACACACACACACACACACACACACTAACACACACACACACACACACACTAAATCACACTAACACACACTACACACACACACTAAATCACACTAACACACACACACTAACACACACACACACACACTAAATCACACTAACACACACACTAACACACACACACACACACACACTAACACACACACACACACACACACTAAATCACACTAACACACACACACACACACACACACACACACACACACACACTAAATCACACTAACACACACACACTAAATCACACTAACACACACACTAACACACACACACACACACACTAACACACACACACACACACACACACTAAATCACACACACACACACACACACACACTAACACACACACACACTAAATCACACTAACACACACACACTAAATCACACTAACACACACACACTAAATCACACTAACACACACACTAACACACACACACTAAATCACACTAACACACACACACACACACTAACACACACACACACACACACTAAATCACACTAACACACACACTAACACACACACACACACACACACACTAACACACACACACACACACACTAAATCACACTAACACACACACTAACACACACACACACACACACACTAAATCACACTAACACACACACTAACACACACACACACACACACACACACACACACACACTAAATCACACACACACACACACACACACACACACACACACACACTAAATCACACACACACACACACACACACACACACACACACACTAACGCAGGTCTCTCGGATGCGTTTGGAGCTTTTTTAGATTTTTATTTGCAGCTTCATGATGGAGTTGAACTTCCTGCTCCTCCTGCTCCTCCTGCTCCTCCTGCTCCTCCTCCAACACTCCTGACCTCCCTCTGGACTTCACGCCTGGACAGTCACCCTTGGAGGAGTTAGTGAGCCTTTGTGTGGACACACGCCAGTGACATCACATCAGAGACAGTTTAACTTCTTTTATTTAAACTGGTCAACAGCTCCGGCTCCACGAGGCCCTGGCAGATGTGACCCCCTCCCGGAGCAGAGCAGGGAAAAGTCTGAAAGGTTAATCTGGCCCCCGCAGATGTTGGCTTTGGGAGTCTTGAAGCGTCACCTTTGACTTGTCCCTCGTGCAGTGGGGTGTGTGTGTGTGTGGGGGGGGGGGGGGGTCCAGAAGGACACTGACCGCTACAAGCTGTCACCCGGTGAAACCGCTCCGTTAGCCTAAACGGCACCGGCTACCATCCGGGCTCGTGCCAGCATGCATCTAATCTGGTTTGTTCAGGAAACATTCATGTGTTCATGTGTTCATGTGTTCATCTCAATCTGACTGGGTTGGAGTTTTTGTGATTAAATGACGTCATGTCACACAACAGAACGTGGAAGATGTCTTTTTGGCTTTCCTCTTCAGGCTTTCAGCTTAAAGTCACAGCAAATCAGACTCAGCGGATTCAAAGTGTTTCCCAATAAGACGCACGCTCGTGCACGCTCGTGCACGCTCGTGCACGCTCGTGCGCTCCGTGCTGCGCTTGGTTCGTTAGGCCTAATAGTTGAACAATAGACACATCTGCTGCTGGGCTTTGCCATCAGAAGAGAAGGTCCTCTTGGTTTGGTTAAACCGCCATCCTTGCTCCTGGGTGGGGGGGTGCAGCATACATCCGGGACACTTCCTGATGGATCTGGAGCCGCTCATTAACATTTAGCTGCTTTGGTTCTGGAGGGAAATGTTGACGTTTGGATTTTATTCCAGCTGGTTAAAAATCAACTCTAAATGAACCCGGAAGTTGACCTCATTTGCAGTTAATGATGGACTGAAGAACTACCCTCATTACGTCACTGATGAAGGTAACGTTTCCCCCAATAGCGTTAGGGTGATGGTTGTCCCTCGTGGCCCCCTGAGCTGTGTGTGTTTACACCTTAGCTTATTGCCTCACCGCCGTAATAAGGCAGGCCACGTCAGAGCCGTGTGTGTGTGTGCAGGGAGGGGGGGGGGGCACTGAAAAGAGAGAGCACGGAGGAGGTGGGCGTCTACAGTGCGCATGTGTAAACGGTGTGATGTGTGCTGCTGTGGACCGGGGACTTGAGAGATGGCGCGGCACCCGACCGGAGCGCAAGGACAGCTGGTTGGCGGCGGGGGGGCTTCAATCACAGAGATCACAGAATTTTAAAAACAAAAACAAAAATACCAAAAACAACAACAACAGGATTTTAGCAGCGCTTCCGGTCCAGG